TTCCTGGTGACTTCATGGACCCCAACCCCTAACATTTCGTGGTGATCTCCCATCCAGTTACTAATCTAATCCAACTGTGCTTAACTTTTTGGAGATCAGCCAAATGAATTAGGTGCTGCAACTTGTTATGATTCCATCCTAAGCCCATTTTTGCAGTCCTTTAAACCAACTCAAAAAACCCCACAATATCCTCTCTTCTGTATTGGTCTCCCCACTCCCTTTTCCCAGAACCCTCTCATTTCAAAAGAAAACATTCAATATCACTATGAGTGCAAGCTTCTGCCACATCTAAATCTCCACTGAGGCACAAACATTGGGTCAACTACCCAGATTAGTTTCGTCAAGATGCTGGAGAAGAGGTTTCTTCTGGCAGTACTTTTCTCCACTGGACATATTTCACCCAGGAATGTAAAGATCAGATCGTTTTTCAGTTCCATGTACTCCATTAAATGTCCATTCCATCAAAATTCCAGGTCATTTCTGCAGGTTGATATCCCCCCAAAGGCATTTATTTTTGTATGCAAATTCTCTAATATATTTATTTTGTATGCTTTATTTCCCTGATATACATATTTTTGTACACAACCTTCCCCAATGCATGCTTTTTTTTTCTTTTCTTTTCTTTTCTTTTCTTTTCTTTTCTTTTCTTTTCTTTTCTTTTCTTTTCTTTTCTTTTCTTTTCTTTTCTTTTCTTTTCTTTTCTTTTCTTTTCTTTTCTTTTCTTTTCTTTTCTTTTCTTTTCTTTTCTTTTCTTTTCTTTTCTTTTCTTTTCTTTTCTTTTCTTTTCTCTTTTTCTTTTGCACACATATTTTGGGTCAAGAACAGCATCACAAATTCCAGAGAAGTGCAGAATCAGAAGAATAATGGTGTTCTGCTCCGCACCATGATCCAGAAAGTGCAAAATATATTTGTTTCACCTAGCAATGTGGACTGAACAAAGTCCCTTGATACCCTGAGTCTCCCACTGTTCATTTAGTCCTTGTGGGGGACTTGTCTCAAGAAATTAGCTTGACCACAGCCACATTCTATTGAGAAGAAATGCTCTCCTTCTAATTTGACATGAACAAAATAAATCAAGGATATTTCATGTGTCTTCAACTGCATAAGCTAAAGACTGAATCACTCTCCATTAGCTTCCAACCCTCACAAAACATGGGATGGTTAGGGAGGCCCTTTTTATTATTCTCTCCTTTCATCCCAAATTTGCTTTTGTTGAGCTATGAGGATGTCCATTACAGCTTGCCATCTCCTAAAAGCCTCTTCCTTACCTTCTTCCCTACCTTTCCTGCCAAGCTGCCTATGGAGATATCCCATTCACAGTGTCTTGAGAGAAGATGCACCAGTCTTTTCAGGAGGTTGCTAATGTCAGAGGAACATCAACCAGAAAGGAAAAGAGATAGAGGGGAGGTGCAGCTGTTTATGCCTTTTTAGCTGCTGAACAGATCTCAACCCTGGGTTTTTTTTTTTTTTGGTAAGTTTGTTGGGTAAAAATCAGTTGGCAAGCCAAGGCAGAAAGGTAGTGGTGGTGGGGAAACATAGTCAGGGTGGGGAAGGAGGAATCATAATAGGATGGTCAGAGGGACCCAGCCCCCTTCAGTTAATATCTCAGCTGAATTCTAAGCTACAACAATGGGGAAAATTAATTCCTCACTGAAGTTGTAAGAAATACAGATTGACCCAGGTCACAGTAGAGGAAGTAAACATAGGGAATATTTGAATTCTACTTTGTGCTTCATCATAATCTCTCTGTGGGGCCTTCAGACATACCTCTCTCTTTCCTTGCCTTTAAGACCACCAACATGTCCAAAATGGGGACAGATTACCTACCCGACACAGGATTGATGAGAAGTTGGATTAGGTCAGAACTGTAAAATATTCTTTACAAGAGGAAGGGAGGAAAATGCAGCAAACATCAGTAGGAAATCTTATATATATGAAAAAAAAAAAGTGATTTTTGGGACCACCTTCACTGAGGATCATGGCTTCCAAGCCACACTGTTGGAACTGACAGCTGGGTCAAGGTTACAGTTGCAATTGCTGTATCTGTATTTGCATATCTAGAACTATTCCAGTGAGAATTGCTGGAATTTTTGTCTCCAAGATATCCATTTCATAAGCTTTCCTCATGTATGGCTGTTGCAGACATTTGTTTGGGTCCTTGACATCATTTCGAGGACTCTCATTTGAAAAGGAACGGAAATATGAAAACAATAAGGTAAAAATACTATATCCATTCTTCTTTCCTTGCAGCTAGGTGGATGTTTCTGTGATGCTTCTTTGTTCATCTGACCAGTCGGTGAAGCAAAGTTTTTGAATGGTGTATATTCCAAAACGGAAACATTTATACATAGGAGAGAATCAGAAACCTTGTGGTAGAATGGGATAAGTTGGAGACAACAGCTGTTCCAAAAGTGTTAAAGCAGAAGGGGGGGGGCTTAGGATGGTAGATGAGATCTCTTAAAAGGAAGTTGCTCCAGGGGAGAATCATCCTGGAATAATAGAAGCATTGCCAGTTTGGTGCCAGTTTAGGCACATTATCTTCAGCTTTCCTTTTTTGTTGTTCCATGTTTCCAGGTGGATAGAACTCTACCCAATAGCCAGAATCTAAAGGACACTGTAGGATTTGCAATTCCATACCTTGTTAAATATTGTTTTTTCCTCATCTTCTTTTTAATACTGTAGAAATTATTTTTCAGTCTCTCTCACATTTTCCTTCTGGTTCTGAGATGTTACATTTTGGGTGATGCACTCAATAACCTGCAGCAGCTACTGGAGCAACGGATCTCTCTCTCTCTCTCTCTCTCTCTCTCTCTCTCTCTTTCTCTCTCTCTCTCTCTCTCTCTCTCTCATTCTCTCTCTCTCTCCCCAGCTGCCTTACGTATGATTGAGGCTTTCCATGTTTCCATTTAACTTGTCTCTTTCTGTTTTGTTTGTTTGTTTCAGTGTTGTATGTGTAGCAGGCACTTGAGTTTATATGAATATGTTGGCTTGAGGTCAAGGGAGAGGTAGGGTGGGGAGAAAAAAGACACAGCAACAACTTTGAAGCATGGTCGCTGCTAGCCAAGGATGTCCAAGTAGATTGGTGTGGCTTTGCCCAGAGCATGAAGGATCTTGTAGATTTCCTTAATGTTCAGCCGCTGCTGAGGTTCTCGCTGCCAGCATCCCAGCATGATGTCATAAACTTCCTTGGGACAGACCCGCGGCCTCTCTAAGACACGGCCTTGGGTGATGCACTCAATAACCTGCAACGGGTAACATAGAAGATTCGTTTTACATAATGTGTCCCTTATACATTTACTTATCTATTACTTTTTTTTTTACTGTCCTGCCACATCTGCATGAGTTAAAGAATACATTTCTAAATTTCTGTCATAAGGGTTCCAAATATGATTTGTGCCAACACGTCTTTGAATAATCTTGGAAAATCCATAATTGCACAATGCTAATGTACCTTTGGTTTGGGGGAAAGAGTTGTACACTCTTACACTAACCCATGGTTTATTTAAATCATTGTTTTTTTTTGCAGACAAGAACAATAGTTGGGGCTTTGTGGTCTAATTTCTGGTTTGTTTGCCCTTGTGCTCTTGCCTTACACATGTATGCATTGGTAAGAAGCCTAGGAGGAAAATCAAATCAGGAATATCCCAAGGAATCTCAAACCTCACGTTAAGCCTCAATTACAACTGGTAAAGAAAATAATAAACATTATGGCTCAATGCAATGCGTGTTACTAGATTTTATGTCCTACACTCCAGCTGTTCTTTCTCCCATAAACCTTAATTAAAACTATCACAATATCACAACTCAAACCATATCCTATCTGTACAGTCTTTCTCTTGTTTCCATTTCTGGTTACACTCTAACACAAGGAATGGCAGCTCCCAGCATCTGAAGCTATTGTGGTCAACAGCTCTAAGTCCTGACATAGAAATGGCCCATTTACACCCCAGTACTACACCCCAGTAGCCCAAAGCCACTGTTAGTTTTCTGGAACCCTTGGACCAAATTATAAATGTCACTTTACTACCATTTTGAATGTAAACATAAAATAGGCCTAATGTAATTAAATGAACCAAAAAAAAAAGCCTTTTACCCAATGTAAAAAAGAGAGGTGGGGGGGAAGGAATCTTGTCCCTGTCCACATGCTCAATGTTGACCCTATACACTGCATCCTTATTTCATTTACTGTAGCCTTTGGCCTCCCAAAAACCATCACGCACAACCTGCGACCGAAAAGGCTTGTCTTCCTCTACTCTTGTGGAATGTTGGAAAAGCTAGCAGAGAACTGATTTGTATTAGAAGTCTAGAATTTCTATTAGTTTTAGACCATTTTAAGTGCCTTATCTACCCTGGAGCTTCTGTGCTATTCAGAAATTTGCTATATTTAATTATGTTTTTAAAAACATGTTTAGAAATTTTAAGATTTTAAATGGCTTGGCAGTCTGCAGAAACCAAAATATTTTGGGAGGATTCTAATGTTATAATAAATCAATAAAATAAACATAAAATAAATAGAGATAGTGATAGGTTAATTAACCGTTGGGTTAAAGGCTTCATTTGGTCCATGGGTTGCTGCACTATGGATACCAAAGCTTCTTTTTTTTCACTGCTCACCCCATCAGTTAATGGATGGCAAGTAGACAATTATAACAGATGACATACAGCAATCATGCAGGGCATTTCCCCCACTTGGTTTCTCCATTCCAAGGTCAACTTGGCCTCATTTTCTGAAATGGAAGGGATGCAAAACCCATTTCCCTTTGAATCACATTCACACTGTCAAGGAAGCAAAAGGAGAAGGTCCTAGACCACATGACCCATACTGTAACAATTTCCTTCTTTGACCAGCTGTTGAAGCTAATAAGAGAAACATGGAACAGTGGAGCTGTGCAAAGTAGTTCTTTCTGAAATATGTCAGGGGGACTATTGCCTTACTCCTCTCTCCACATGTCATGGTTTGAACACTGTAGTCATACCATTGGAAGCAACCCTTTAGGCACTGAATCCAACCCTTGCTCAATAAAGGAATCCAAAGGAAAGCATTCCTGGGAGATGGCTTCAACACATTGGGTGGAGGAGAGGCTAAAATTGCTCTGCTTGTTAGGAAATGTTTCTTAATGTTCAACCAAATCTACCTTTCTGTCATTTAAATACATTATTCCATGTCCTCTGAGAGGGTATAAAACAGATATTGCACATCTGTCTCACATCCTTTCAAGAATTTCATGAGTGTTACTATATCTCCCCATTGTTCCATCGTCTCTTCCGTTCACCTCAGTCACTGCCTGTGGTGCTTGGTTTCCAACCCCTTGATCATCTTTGTTGCCCTTTTTGCAACAACAGTCTTTCAAGAGCATCTCTGCATGTCACATTTGAGAAGGAAAATATACATATTTTAACAAAATATTCTAAATCTAAATAGTCTAAACAAATACAACATGTTGAGTTCTGTCAAATGGCATACTTCCAGAATCTCTTCAGATCTGTATTGTTGAATTTGGGCCTGCATTCTCATTCCACTCATGTCATACATGGGCACTCTGCCATGGGATTCCCTACATTATGTGTGTGTGTTTGTGTGTGTGTGTGTGTGTAGTATTTTAAATTGTGGTGCCAGGCTATATCAAAAAAACTTGAGGGATCCATACATTAGGCACAGGAGTACAGAACATTCCTCCAGCAAAAATGCCCATTTCTCATTTTTTAAATGGGCAAGTTTCTCAAAAATTTTAGTCACTTGGGAGGATTGAAGCAACCTCCCCTAAAATCCCAAAGAACCATTTGCAATCAGAGTGGACAATGTGGGCTTCCTTTGACTGCTGATCAATGAAAAATCACAGCATGGACTCATCATGTCAATGTAAAAGAAACATGCTAAAATCTATACGCATGATACCTCTGTATTTGACAGCTGGAACCAGGGCTGCTTTCCGTATGTGAAGATCTCCCAGAGAATTACCCCAAAACTCCAGACATCGCTCTCTGTTGTGAATTTCCGGTACATGATGCTTTCAGGAGGCATCCAACGGATAGGGAGCATGGTGTGTCCCCCAACCTGCATTGACAAATGTAAAGCAAAACTGTTTAGATGATCTAGAAAAAGAATCCACTTGCATACAATCCCAACACCTTCCAGATAATCCTGCCCCAGCTAGGAGCCTCCATCACGAAATGCTAGCTGATCACAAACCGGGAAGTTTTGATCCAAAGCACTGTTCATTCATGAGGTCTCCAGTGCCTATAGAAAACCAATACACAAGGGTTCTCTGGGCTCACTTTCCAGGTACAGGAAACCAAATGAGAAAATAATTTTAGATGAACATATAAAGGTTGGTTGCAACTTATTTTAATTCACATGGGTTCCATTTGATGCAGGTTCTACAGATACAACTTTCTGCAGAGAGGAATCCCTTTTTTATAAGTTCATCTATTTCTACCCAAGATATTTTGATTTTTGCTTTTCTTTTTTTCAGGCAGGTTTTTTTTTAAAGTAAAATCCGTAAACCATTGTCAACCCATTTGAAGCTCTCATGCACGCAGATGAGCGACTTGCAGCTGCAGCCCTTGGAAGATGACTTGGCTTTTATGTGCACTGCATTGATGACAGTATAACCAGCAAGATTAAAGATTTGCTGTATGCCTCAGAAGCATCCATGCTTACATAGCTCTTGAAGCATCTGCTTCAGTCCCTAACCCCAGGGGACTGTTGGAAAAGGGGAACATTTTTGCAACTAGTTTTTCTCTTTAGGTTATTTCTGTGCACCAGGTGGATACATTAGACAAGAAATATTGGAGGGTGAGGATGGGCGGCGGGGGGGGGGAGACTACTGGATTTCAAGCAGTAATTTGAAGGAATATTGCAGAATCCAACAGAAATATCCAAGGTGTCATGGACTTGCCAAAGAAGCCCATCTTCCTTGGCCGAGTGCTTTTTTTTTTTTTTAAAGGGTTTTTTTTTTTTTTTTCTCTGTCATGCCTAGCTTCTCCCTACACAACATTGCTGATGAAGTTCTGAGTTTTGCCATGAAATTTGGAGTTTTACATTGAGCTTTATAGCGAACTGATGCATTGATTAATTAAGAACTGCCTGAGTACACAGAAGGAAACATTTATACAATTCTGTGATAGACAGTACTAGAATAGGCACAAACTCTGGGCATGGCTGTATCTAACAGCAGGTGGAAAGTGATGTATATAATATGTCTTTGAAAACACATTATATACATAGCTGATTAATTCCATAAAGAGAACTGGAACAGTATTTGTAACCTTCTTTAGTTATTGTACACCTTTTCTCTCTAAATCTGTTTAAAGAGGTCTAATTTTCACACTTTAGAATAATTTTGTTTCCAGATGAATCCTACAGGCATCAACATTTTAGACAGAACAGGGCATCGTATACCTGACTAGGAGAACTCATGTATGGTTTGTGGGTGATCTTAATTCAAATTAAAGTAGAATCAGCAGATGGATGAGGAACAAAACCCACTCCCCATCTCCACACATTAACACTATGTCAAAATCCGTATTTCAATTCTACAATATTTTTTCCCTATGTGAGAGGCTTTTGTTTTCAAGAATTTCTGAGAATTTATTTTCAATTTCTCTCTGCTTTGTTCCTGACCTGATTTTATTGTCCGGAGGGTGACACTGTCAATGGTGTGTTTTCTGTGATTCCCCTTTCCATCGCTCTGGAGCCTTCCAGATTAGCCACAGTTCCCAATCCAGAAAAGCCTCATTGCAGGCTGAAGCCTTCCCTTGGGATTGAACGGAAGTGTGGCAAGCCAGGGAGGCTGCAGACACTGGACAGAAAGAGTTGTACAATGAAACACACACACACACACACACACACACACA